TATATATATATATATATATATATATATATCGAACTTTTGCTTTTGATAGGTCTAAGCATCGTCTTTAAATTTCTCCACAAGAAGGCGAACAACATCAACAGTAAGAGGCTTCTGATAATAATAATCAAGACCAGCATTCACAAATGATTCCTTCTCTGCTTCTCCAGTAGAAGTCACTCCCACAATCAAGCTTACCACATCCATATCTCGAAGTTCTTGAGTTGCCTACATAATAAAAAACTTTTTAAAATGCTTTTTTTTTTTACATAAATTAGGATAAAGTTCAATGTCCAAACTAAAAACAAATGACAATTAGGACAAATGGCAGCCCAGTCACATAGGGTTTGGCGAAAGACCGCACTTCAAGAGGATGTGATGTGTATAGCCTGCTTTGATGCAAGTATCAACGGCTGATTCCATAGCTCGAACCCGTGACATATAAGTCACCCGGAAACAACTTTACCGTTGCTCTAAGGCTTGCCTTCAAATGGCGATTAATAGAAAAGAATTTAACAAATGCATACCTGGCGACCGTTCATCACTGGCATATCTAAGTCCATTAAAATCAGATCAAAGCATGCACCAGCGCGATGAGCAAGAACAGCTTCTTGGCCATTTTTTGCCTCATGAGTTTCCACTCCAAATTTCTTTAGAAGTCCTTTGTGTACCATTCGAACTACACGATCATCATCTACTATAAGCGCTTTGAGTTTTTTCCCAACGTTGAGGTTCTTATTCGAAGAAGACACATTGATATCATAGCATGATGACATTTTTCCTGATCTTAACACTTAAAAAATCACAAAAATATTACTATCAAATTAGTAAACTGAATTGAGAACTTCAATAATTGAAATCAATCTATTCTTATAGCCTATGTTGCGGACTCTCCAAAACAGTTGTCGCATCCGTATCGGATCCTCCAAAATACACTATGTTTGGAGGTTCCGACACACACCCATCGACATATTCGGAGAGTCCGAACAATATATGGTGTAGCTCACCATTGTTTATTTTCCAAATGAAAAAAAGTTACCACTTTGTTGGTGTGACAATTTATTACCATGTTACATATGCAAATGTCATGACACTATCAACATCCATTATGGCACATAGCTAACCTTCTTAAAACAAGACTCGTATTCTTTCAAGTTGACCATGATCTTATGTTCTTTATTATTTAGAGAAATGGCTACAAATTTTCATTCTCCTGCTAATTAACATGCATGAAATACGAACGATGACTTTGGAAAAACAAGAGAAAGAAGTATGAAATTCATATACAAAAGTGAAAAACTAGTCAGTCAATGGTAGTACCTTTCTTTTTGCCCAAAAT